TTTTCCTACAGTTATCATTAATACTAGACTCTCTCTTGCATCTAACCACTTGCTATCTCTAGAAAGGAAAGCACACCATCTGTCCCACCAACAGGGAAGACAGCTTTTATTTTAAACATGGCACTCTAGAACCTAAAAGACAAAACCCAAATATGTTTGGAGGAATTGATTTGGCAGAACAGATACAAAAAAGCCAAAATACACTTTCTAATGTCTGAAGCCCCATGAAAAGAAAGTATCAGTTGGGAGAGGAAACAGCGTAAGACCAGACAGACTTGGAAACTGCCAATATTTATACTGAGCATTGTGAATCTGCTTAGACAGACCAGCTCTCTCAAATCACTATTATAAAGCAGCAGCAGAGTGTTAGTTGTAAACACCAGCATATCATGCAGTGTTTTCCATGAAGGAAAAAAGTAAGCATTCTCAAATCTTGAGAAAGCAAATTTGCTGCCCTAGCTCTCAACAAATACAGGAACTATTTACATTATCTAAACAACTGTGACCAAACAAAAGCAATGTTCCTGTTTTAGAGGTATGGAAGAGGCAAAGGAACTAGCAGTCAGGCTTAAGACACCAACATTAAAGTAAGACTTGAATTGCATGTTTGTATTTCTCTACAATCAATCTAGATTGTTTCCTGTTTGTAAAATGCCACAGGCAGCACCTACAGAGTAAAACCAGCTAAAGTGAAGTAACAGCATAAAGCTAGCCAAAGCAGAAAGAGGCACAATTGTACTATATTGCTTTTCTCCCTTGAAAACATTTCAGACATTTTACTGCCCAAAGCTATTTTCATCTTCGCAATTTTTAAGCCAAACACGACAGCACTTCTGAAGTTTCCAATCCTTTGCACGCATTTGTTAGTCAAAGGCTCCCCTCCTGCTTCCACTCTAATTTTTTTTTTGAGCCAGTTCACCACCATTGGCTATGGGTGGAGCTACATTTAAACAGGCTAGCTCTGGAAAGTTAGAGAAACAGTGAAAATACTGGCAATGTTATTTATATACTGCCAACACTCACTTCTTCCATCCACTGGTATGAATATTGCCTTGTGCAGTTAAAGCTTGCTAAAAGTATAAAGAGTTGCTTCTATCACTGGAGGTAAAGTTTTCAATGTTGCTCTACTGCAAACACAAAAGCCTGCAAATAAATATTAATTTCAACTTAATTATTCTATTTCATCATATAGCACAGAATTTTAGGGAATAAGATTAGGGTTTTATGACAAACTTCAATCCAGATTGTCTGACTTACTGGGGACCAGCCAGATAACATTTACTTGGAAAACTACTGCTTAATTTTGCCTGCATTAAGAGCCTCGGATGGGCTCTTGCTGGTGACATGGCATAGAAGACTTGGATTTTCGGGAAGATTTTGTGTGGCTAGAAAAGAAACTCCTCCATGTATAAAACCACTGAATACTTACACAAAATAAAGCTGTAGGTGAACATGAACAAGGGGGAATGAGAATGGAAACAGCTGTCCCTGCCTGAAACTGTAAGAGGCATTAACTAGGGAGTTACCCCCTCCTCTCGCATTGGCTTTGAGCCTTGGCAGAGGCCAGCACCGCAGCGATGTGAAAGCAGGCAGCAGCGCAGCTGCGCCACTTCACGCCAAGGGCCAGGCACACCCCATCCGCCAGGTCTAACCCAGCAGCTACAGCCTCCAGCACTTACTGCTCCACTGAAGTTCACACCTGCTGCATGGCACACACTGACAATGAATACAGAGAATGATGTAAACAAAAGAAAATAAACTACAGAATTATACAAGGCCTGACAGGTAGATACACGCACATCCATAAAACTGTCCTGAAACCACATATGGTTTCATATGTGAACAGACCAAAATATGAGCTGAGCATCCTTCTCTGGGTTTTTTCCCCCCAATATATTTTCTTTCAGACAAGCACAGAGATGAACAGTAACTACTGTGACCACAGTAACGCAGAACTAAAATCCTAATAAAACAGATTTGGAACATGCCTAATGGGTCACTCACCCCATAGGCTGTTTGCCATTTTAAACTACTGTAAGGAGCACAGACATCTGTCCCACTCCTTCAGGAGGGTCTTTGCTGCTGCACAGAAGCCTGACCTCTTTGCTGTTTTTCACTTTAAACAATTCAGTCACTGACAATGCAGAAATGACATACTGATCTACTTTACAACAGAAGAAAGTAAGTTAACTGTGGAAGAGTAAACCGCTTTTTGTCTTTCAGTACCTGAGACATTCCAGGCTTTGATCCATTGTTGAAACACCTGCGTAAACATTAAACTAACACCCTGCAAAACACGTTCTGTTTACAGCTCCTGACTTCTTCCAGAAGCCACAGCTTTTACAGCAAAAGCCATTTGAGGGTGTTTGCAGCTGATGAAAACAGCTGAAAATTGTTTTCTGCGCAATGCTAGGAAGCAAATCTAACTACTGTTAGCTCATATAGCAGGCTTTTCAGATGTCTTTTCAAGGGAGACAGACTGAATAGAAGAGAGGAATAAACAGACCACCCTGGCAAGTGTTGTTCACGCTTTGGGTCTGTATGAGCACGGGGGAGCAGCACTTGGCAGCACCCTGATTGCAGTACAGGATCCAGAGCAGCAAAAATGAAAGCAGGAATCACTCCAGTAATTCAGCTTTATCTTCTTGCAGCTTAGCCTTGCATTAGGCTAGAGATTCTATGGCAGAGTGGCATGGTAGCACCAAGATAAAAAAGAAACCCATGCAGTGGAAGAAGGGTGATCACCAAAGAGTATTCCCACTCTTTTTCATGGTCAGGCAGCCCATGCTTGAGTCTCAACTGAAAGCCATCTCAGGAGGTAGCACAGATATCCTGGGGTGTTGCTGTCAGACTGATCCCATAACCCTGTACAGGCTAGCAGGGGCAATACTGCCTACCCTGAGTTCACACACACCTCACTCCCAAAAAAAGGGAAACTGAACAAGACCATGAAAACACGTGCACTAGCACGTGCCCTTACTATGTCTCCTCTGCACCCACACTGTCTGCTGGCTCTGCAGGCTTGGGGGCTGAGCAATGCATGTGGGATAGTGCTATGTACCAGCTCCGTACTTGCACAGGGGAGGGGATTCAGCCCACCTGTGCCATCAGCAGGGTGCTTCATAATCTGGAACCTGCCTCCAGGCTGCCGTTGAAGACACTGGCATGCAGCATACCACATGTGTTTTAAATAAGATTTTTATCCAATATTATAATTTTCTCCTAAAAATGTTTCAGCATTAAAAAGACAGCTAAAGGGAAAGCATTAACTGAGCATGACTCGGAAAAAACAAGACTGGCACTGTATTCATGGGCATGTTATTCATGGGATTTTTTTAAAGTAAAATATGTAGCCAAGGACAAAGTCATATGTACCCATTACTTTAAAAAAAAACCCAAAACCACCACAACAAAAAAACCCCAAACCACTCCATGGTGCTAACATCCAGAAGTAAATTTTCACATAAAGGTAACATTCAAAACCACCTTCCAACATGAAAAAGTGTAGACACCCTACAAAAAATAATTTCCTAGATTTGGAAGAAAAAAAAAATTTGAATATGAATAATGGGGTTTTCTCTTCAACTTGCAACTGTCTTGCCTTCACAGCTCTAAGAGCTTTTATTATCAGTTTATTCACCATAATTGCATACTGGCGGATTTAAAACATAATCCCAAACCAGTTTTAAAACAAATTTGAAGAGTTAAACAGGATTTTATAAAGTAATAATGTAAGTTTTATAAGCGACCTAACTCAGACAAAATATTACATAAATGTAATTCCTGTGCAACTATTTTAAGGTTTTAAAGCCTTATTGGCTGATATTTTCACTTTCAGACTTTAATGAAAAAATATCTTTCGACTAAATTTGCCTTATAGAAAAAAATCCCTAAGCTTCTCCAGAGTTCTTGGCCTATAATCTCCTAAATTAATGCCCTCCAGAAACAGCATTTAGAAGAGTGTTGCTTAGTTTTAAGCATCACAACCATAAGACGTTTCAAGTCTAAAACTAAGTCAATCTCCCACATCTCTGAAAAACAAAAGAGAAGGCACCTATTTTGCATTGCCCAAGAGCTAATTACAGAGAACCTATTTTTTAAAAGCTGCTAACTGTATTTAAACAGAGTTATGCAAAAAGCAAGCATTGTGTTTCAACGATATAGCAGTACAGCTGGGAAGGACTTCCATGTTATGAACATATTAGGCTACACAGAAGGTTTTATTTAGTACTTTTCTGGAATCTTTTGGAATGTACTCCACTGTGGTGTTACCTAACAGGAAATCCATTTTGGTACAGTAACAATACAATGCCCGTGAAAGTTACCAGATATTCTTAAGAATAAAACATCTAAGGACGCTTTCCTTTGAAAAATGAGTATTTTTAAGTCTTTTATACCCAAGAGGAGCTACTGCATCTTCCTTTCCACCTTCTCATTAGCTAGGTGGTTTTGGAGTAAACAGCACTCCTTAATGCATCTGTCTCTAGCCCATTACATCACCTAGTGCTTCGTACCAAACATATGCTGACACTGCACCGGTGCCTCCCTGCATATCTGGGAGCATCCTCAACTAAAAATATCAGCACAAGTTTTAGTAAATATTGTTACAATAGCGATTCTCCCTCCTGTTACTAGCAGCAGGTAAGACACAGCAATCCAGCTTCCCACTGAGATGACAAAGCTGGGAACCCAAAACTCAAATGTGACACACTACAGGAACTGGGTTTTAAGTGTGGAAATTACCTAGCATCTCCCATCTGTAATTTATTACATAGCACTTGCCAGATAGAAGAAACTTTGTTCTTTACTTAGCACCTTGTACCTATACATGCTAAGAGATAGGGGTGGGCGGGAAAAACAACATTTTGGAGCACGGTCCTGGAATATCACCATGACAGACGTGCACCAGCGCAGGGCTGTGATTTTGCAACCATATTCTCTCCCCCGCGAGTAACACATGCAATCATCGTGGTAAGAGGGGCAAAAGTCACGACACTCACGAGATGTAGGCAGGGTAGCCGAAGCCGATGATGTTGCAGAGTAGGGACGCGCCGTAGCCCACCACCAGGTACACGGCCACCACCCCGACGATGGCTGCGCAGGGAGAGAGCGGAGAGCCGTTAGCGCGGGCGATCCCCGGGGCGGCCCAGCGCTGCCGGCTGAGGACCAGCG